AAAAGGTAAATAAAGCTGACAGTCATCGGCATACAAATGAAATGACACTCCGTGTTTACGAAGAATTTCACCAAGGGGGAGTAAATACAGCGAGAAAAATAATGGCCCAAGGATAGATCCCTGGGGCACACCCCAAAGCAGAGGGGCCACAGAGGAAGCGGCCAGCCCCAGCTTGACACAAAAACTCCTTTCGGAAAGATATGATTTTATCCATGACAATGCCAAATCAGAAATTCCCACACAGTGGTGTAAGCGGGAAATCAGCAGGTCGTGGTCCACTGTGTCAAATGCAGCTGTCATGTCCAATAACACAAGCACAGCATATTTACCACAATCAGTAGCAACAAGAATGTCATTCATAACTTTAACAAGAGCTGTCTCTGTGCTGTGAAAGGGCTTAAAACCAGATTGGAAGATTTCAGACAGTTGCGAGTCATTCAAATAATCCAACAGCTGGGTATGTACAATCCTCTCCAAGATTTTACTTAAAAAGGGAAGCTTGGAGATAGTTCTATTATGTCAAATTTTAGACCTATCAAGGTCAGGTTTCTTAAGTAAGGGGTGTATGACTGCATGTTTAAACCCACTAGGAACTTGACCGGTTAACAGACTAGTATTGATAATTTTCAGGATATAAGGTCCAATGATGGGAAATACTTTTTGGAAAAAGCGGGGAGTAACAACATCGTTCGGGGAGCCACAGGGCTTAGCATGTAGCACCAACTCCTCTAAATCACGCAGAGAAATCGGTGCAAAAGCAGAGAATAACCCTAACCCTGAGCCTTTAAAACAGAGTGTGCAGATTTGTGCGGGGGGCGATCGTGGCTCAAGAGTTGGGAGTTCGCCTTGTAATTGGAAGGTTGCCAGTTCGAGCCCCGGCTTGGACAGTCTCGATCGTTGTGTCCTTGGGCAAGACACTTCACCCGTTGCCTACTGGTGGTGGTCAGAGGGCCCGGTGGCGCCAGTGTCCGGCAGCCTCGCCTCTGTCAGTGCGCCCCAGGGTGGCTGTGGCTACAATGTAGCTGCCATCACCAGTGTGTGAATGGGTGGATGACTGGATGTGTAAAGTGCTTTGGGGTCCTTAGGGACTAGTAAGGCACTATACAAATACAGGCCATTTACCATTTACCATTTGTTCTCCTCACATCACATCAGACTAACAGTCTGTGGACATCTTCATCAGACTGTGCTGCAAGTCGGTACCAACACCATGAAACGTTCCTCACACATCTGCCACTGTTTGATCCTCTTTAACAGAGGAAGTGTGACTGTGCTGTGATGTTTAGTCACACTCAGTGTTCATGTGGACTCTGAGCAGGCTCACAGTCAAAACACCTCTCTGTCTAGCCTTGATTATTTAATATTATCCTACTACTGATTCTATTTACCTAGTTTGACACATTCTGTTCGGACTCCTTTAGGCCCAGAAAATATCTTCCTAACTGTTAACTAGTGATGTGTAGCATGCAACAACAAAGAGAAGCTCAGCGCTTCTACATCAATTCTCAATATTTTCAGCCGAGATGAGGCTTTTGACCCTCAAAATTCACAAACTTGTAAAAAAAAGCACAAAAAAAAATAAACTACACTTTACTGTTTGTTGAGCTCATGTTTGATTTCTTCACACAAAAAAACGGTGTGTTTTTATTTCTGGTCTTTCCGTTAAAGTCAGTGTGTTATGTTTTCTGACAAGGCCGAGTGTGTCCGCCATTTTCTGTTGGTGTGTGTGATCAGAGTCTGTGAATCAGACTGAACATACTGAATGTTGCCTTAGCTCCGCTGGAGAGACTCTAAGCTCTGGTTCTTTATATTTACAAAAACAGCAGGAGACAGAGAGTGGACTTTGTAAATGAATATTTTTTATAGATGTGTGTTAGATATAGATTCAACATGTCAGTCTTAAAAATACTGCGCCACAAACTGTTGGCTCAGCTCCAACTGGTAGTAGTATTACAGAACACAGAAACATCATTGTGGTTCACAAAAACTAAACTCAGAACTTAAACCAGAAAAAAAAGTTAAAATAGAAATAAAAACTGAATAAAAAAATTAAAATACATTATTCAGAATGATCAGTGAAATGATTTTGGAAAACTCAAAACTGAATAACATTTTACAGGAAATGTCCTGTTAGAGTTTTTTAGTTTGGCTAAAAAAAGGAATAAAAATGAAAAACTTGCCTTATTATTCTTTGATAAACATTTATTTAAATGTTGGATGTCTCTGTGAGTCACTGCTTTCAAAGAGTTCAGTTTTTATTATAAAATCTGCATTAATCTAAATCAGTCCAGCAAAACTATAGCAACTGCTGTCTGTGGATATGTTTTGGGTTGGGGTTTCAGCCGCCTCAGATGTCTTCCTTCATTTGTCTGTCAATCACTGAGATTGTTTAAAGATGTGTATGTAGCTGTCACAGTGTTAATTTAAAGATCTCACCCTCTTTGTTTTCAGAGACAGCAGATGGAGGGAGAGCAGAGGACTTTGTAAAACAGACCTAGGTTTGATTCAGCACGTTAGGCCTCTGTTAAAAATATAATGAACTGTTGGCTCTGCTCCAACAGACTGTTCACACTGAAACAAAGATGGAAGATAAAACAGGTTTTATGTTTCTCAGACTGAAGAAAAGTTACTATATTAAATTTAACATGTTTTTTTTAATAAATCGATAAAGGTGCTTACATATCAGTGACAAGTTTTATATTAATAGTATAAGTTGAGCAGTGACATTGAAAAACTTTTGCTTTTTTCTTGGTGAGAATAAAATTTTGAAGAAACAAAATATCAGTTTTTAGTTCAAGTTACATTAACATGTAGATATTGTTCGAAGGCTTTTAGAAAGGTGTCCTCAAATAAAATGTATTATTATTATTATTATTACATCAGTCTGTGGAGGGGGAGAGGAGCTGCTGCTCTCACTGTCATGGTCCTGGGTCGGTGACCCAGCGCTTTAAGTTGATTATTATCACTTTTCTAGTTTATTCTGATTTTGTATTTGTTCTTAGGGTTTGAGTTGTGTGTTTCTATCATACCTACCTGTGTCTCTCCTCTGCGTTCTGATCGTGTCCCCAGTTGGTTGTGTAAAACAGTCTGTGTGTTTCCTGTTTTACTTTGTAGGGTTGTGTCTCGTTATGTCCATTAGTTCCAGCTGTGTCCCCGCCTGTCTGCCATTTCCTACTTACCTGGTGTGTGTATTTATAGTGCGTGTCTGCCTGTGCTCCTCGTTGGCTCGTCTGTGTTTCTTGGTATCCTGCTCCTTAGTCTGCGTCTCTCTGCTCTGCTCTGCGTTTTGTTAAGATTTCAGGTTTGCTCTTTAGTTTCTCCCAGTTTAGGTTTCCGTTAGCAATTTCTCACGCTTCGTTGCCTGTTTCTGCCACTGCCACCTTGTAAATAAACTCTCACTCATATCATCAGTTGGCTGTCTGCATTTTGGGTCCTCCTTTTCCTCCACACCACACGGCTCACCCCGCCAGCCGTGACACTCACTGACACACTGAATGCAGCCTTCCACAGTAACTGCTATCAGATTGACAAATCTGTTTGACCATAACAGTTATTGGACCCTGACCTCCAACAGCTGTTGGTTCTTTATAATGACAGTGCAGGTGGATGTATAAATGTAGTATAGAACTGAATTAAACATGCTGACTTCTGTCTGATTAAAAATCCTTATTTACAAATATTGGATCCGCTTCAAAGTGAAGTAATTATGACAACAACACAAAGGTTGTTAGATTTGATATTCAGACTGACTTAATTAGACGAAACAAAATTATTATATTAAATGACTGAAAACATTAACAGGTAATTAGATAATAGTTATCAGGTATGTCAACAGGCAAAGTCAAATGTTGAGACAGAAGAAATGTGGTGTTGATGTTAACATCATTTTAACAAGATTAAAATGATGTAATGATGCACTAGATAATACCAAATACCAGTTATTGGTTTCTGTTTGTACACAGACATAATTTGAGTGTTCAAAGTGTTTGAGCTTAGCACAACTTCATATAAATAGCTGTAACTTTTGATAGAAGACTCAGACACACATATTTATGGCTTTATCTTATAGAATTCAATATCCACGTGCTGGGCAAACAGGTTTTTAAAGCTGTTTGAGCTAAGATTTTAAAGTTTTCACATAATGAAAACCTATACTTTGTTTCGGGCAAGTTCCCCATTCAAATGTATGTAATCGTAAGCCAGCATAACAAGCCCTGGTGAAATGTGGATGGTTTCGGCCAGCACCAAAGGCCCTGTTGTAATGTCGATGGCCTCATCTAACAACACTGGCCCTGGTGAAATTTGGATGGTAATGGCCAGCACCACAGACCCTGGTGTAATGTGGATGGCCTTAGCCAACACCATTGGCCCTGGTGAAATGTAGATGGCCTTATCCAGCAACATATACCCTGGTGAAATGTAGATGGTATCAGCAAGCAGCACAGGCCCTGGTGTGGTGAAGATGGCCTCACAGGAATCACTG